CAATGAAAATTATTCTCCTCAAGCATTGAGGGGCATATATACATGACTGAAACAAATATTATTCTCCCCAGGCTGTGGGGACATATATACATGACTGAAATAAATATTATTCTCCTCAAGCTGTGGAAGTACTTCCAGCAGGAGCGCGAGCTCTCTTCTCTGTGCTTGTAGTGAAACTACTTCCAGAGCAATCATTTTTATTTTGAATGGGAATGACCGACCCTGAACATGAGTGACAGACTGTGAAAGTGACTGACAAACTCTGAACATGAGTGACAGACTCTGAACATGAGTGATAGGCTCTGAACGTGATTGACAGGCTCTGAACATGAGTGACAGGCTCTCAACGTGAGTGACAGATTCTGAACATGAGTAATAGACTCTGAACATGAGTGACAGGCTCTGAACATGAGTGATAGACTCTGAACATGAGTAATAGAGTCTGAATATGAGTGACAGGCTCTGAATATGAATGACAGCCTCTGAACATGAGTGACAGACTCTGAAAAATAGTGACAGGCTCTGAACATTATTGACAGACTCTGAACAACAGACTCTGAAGATGAGTGACAGACTCTGAAGATGAATGACAGACTCTGAAGATGAATGACAGACTCTGAAGATGAGTGACAGACTCTGAAGATGAATGACAGACTCTGAAGATGAGTGACAGACTGATGAAGATGAGTGACAGACTCTGAAGATGAATGACAGACTCTGAAGATGAGTGACAAACTCTGAACATGAGTGACAGATTCTGAACATGAGTGACAGTCTCTGAACATGAGTGACAGAATCTGAACATGAGTGACAGTCTCTGAACATGAGTGACAGAGTCTGAACATGAGTGACAGACTCTGAACAACAGACTCTGAACATGAGTAACAGACTCTGAACATGATGACATATTCTGAACAGGAGTGACAGACTCTGAACATGAATGACAGACTCAGAAGATGAGTGACAGACTCTGAAGATGAGTGACAGGCTCTGAACATGAGTGACAGGCTCTGAACATGAGTGACAGGCTCTGAACATGAATGACAGACTCTGAACATGAGTGACAGACTCTGAACATGAATGACAGACTCAGAAGATGAGTGACAGACTCTGAGCATGAGTGACAGGCTCTGAACATGAATGACAAACTCTGAACATGAGTGACAGACTCTGAACATGAGTGACAGACTCTGAAGATGAATGACAGACTCTGAACATAAGTGACAGACTCTGAAGATGAGTGACAGACTCTGAAGATGAGTGACAGGCTCTGAAGATGAGTGACAGACTCTGAAGATGAGTGACAGACTCTGAAGATGAGTGACAGGCTCTGAACATGAGAGACAGGCTCTGAACATGAGAGACAGGCTCTGAACATGAGTGACAGGGTCGGAACATGAGTGACAGACTCCAAACGACAGACTCTAAACATGAGTGACAGACTCTGAACATGAGTGAAAGACTCTGAACATGAGAGACAGGCTCTGAACATGAGTGAAAGACTCTGAATATGAGTGACAGACTCTGAATATGAGTGACAGGCTCTGAATATGAGTGACAGGCTCTGAATATGAGTGACAGGCTCGGAACATGAGTGACAGACTCGCGACACTGAGTGGACACGACTTCTAACAAACGACAGACTCTGAACATGAGTGACAGACTTTAAACGACAGACTCTGAACATGAGTGACAGACTCGGAACATGAGTGAAAGACTCTGAACATGAGTGACAAATTCTGAACATGAGTAACAGACTCTGAACATGAGTGATAGAGCTCATGTACTGGAGTAATGACAACTTTTGTGGATGAGTGCTGCTGAGCTACCAGCACCTCGACGTTATACAATACTAGGACGTGAACACACCTCCTAGTACTGAGATATTAAACCCATGGGGGCTATTAAATCCCCGAGACATATTAAATGCATGAGGGCTATTAAAGCCATGAGGGCCATTAAACCCATGAGAGTTATTAAACCCATGAGATATATTAAACCTATGAGGATTATTAAACTCATGAGGTATATTAAACCTATGACGGCTATTAAACCCATGAGAGTTATTAAACTCATGAGTGTTATTCATAATGAAGGGTCATTAATCCAGGTTGGTTGTAAAATCCATGGGCTTATTAACCTCGAATGAGTATTAACCAGGGAGGGTAATTAACCGAGAAAAGCGTTTGAAAAGCGTTTGACACAGTTGACCACGGCATCCTACTCCACAAACTTGACCGCTATGGTATAAGAGGCCATGCGCTTGCATATTTCAAATTCTACCTTTCTAATAGGTATCAGTATGTCACCATTAAAGACACAGCCTCATCTATAAGGACCACTTGATACTGGAGTTCCGCAGGGAAGTGTTTTTGGACCCCTGCTCTTCCTCATTTACATCAGTGATCTTCGAAACATATCCCAACACCTGAAACCCATTCTCTTTGCTGACAACACGACTTATGTCATCTCCCACCCTAATCTTGCCACCCTCAACACCATTGTTAACGAGGAGCTGCTCTAAATATCGACTTGGATGACAGCCAATAAACTTACACTTAACACTGACAAAGCCTACTATATTATGTTTGGTAGCAGAGCAGGTGTTGCACAACTTAACATTAAGATCGACAACACTCTAATTGTCAGACATAATGAGGGCAAATTCCTAGGCCTATACCTCGACAACAACCTAAATTTCAGCACCCATATCCAACACATAACAAAAAAAGTATCCAAAACGGTGGGGATCCTCTCCAAGATACGATACTACGTGCCACAAACTGCCCTTCTCACACTATACCATTCACTTATATATCCATACCTCACCTATGCTATCTGTGCTTGGGAATCAACTGCAGCAGCACACCTAAAGCCAATAATAACCCAACAAAAAGCCGGAGTAAGAATAATCACTAAATCCCATCCCTGGCAACACTCCCCCCCACTCTTCATAGATCTTAACTTACTTCCTGTTCAGAACATCCACACTTACTACTGTGCAATCTGTATCTACAGGACCTTAAATTCCAACATTAACCTTGACCTAAAACGCTTTCTTGATAGTTGTGACAGGATCCACAGGCATAACATCAGACACAAACATCTCTATGACATTCCCCGTGTCCGACTAAACCTTTACAAAAATTCAATGTATTTCAAAGGACCTAAAATCTGGAACACCCTACCTGAAAACTCTAGAACTGCAGACACACTCATCACTTTCAAATCTACAGTTAGAAAACATCTTATCTCCCTGATACACCCCGACAACTAACTACATGATAACCACCTGGTGGTTCACAATTACACTCACCCACTGACTATAAACACAGAAATACAAATCTTAATCTTAAAATAATGAATCCTAACTAGTCATAAGTTTGCCTATGATACTCCAATATAGACACTTTGTATTGTGCTAAAACAAAAGCATTCACATTGCCAAACTCAAAATTATAATGTAGTCACTTAGCCTTAATACCATAATCTGTAAGGATTTAATGTTAAGAATTAATCTAAGTCTGCCCGAAATGCCTAGCCATGCTATATGTCCTAGTGGCCCCTTCTGTAATTAGTATTTAATAACATGCAAACCACACAATATCCAAATCCTGTAAACCCCACATTGTAACCCTTATAGAGAATAAACTTGATTTGATTTGATTTGATTTGAGAATACACCAGTAATGCCAAGCAGCATATCTTGTTAACGCACAGGTTCAATTTTGGACTAAGTCAACATGTAGAGGTGTAGGGTGACTTATCCATATGGTTATAAGGTGCTAGGTGAGTCGAGACAGTGGCTGTAAGATGCTACGTGAGTCGAGACCCCGAGTGTAAGGTGCTAGGTGAGTAGAGACAGCGAGTGTAAGGTACTTACGTTGTGCAGAAGTAACTTTTATAAGCTTTAAGTGGGAAGGAGTCGCTTTTGTAAGGTGTTAGGTGAGCAGGAGTATCTTTTGAAAGGTTTTAGGTGAGCAGGACTAGCTTTTGTAAGGCGCTACGTTAGTAAGGGTAGCTCTTCTAGAGTTTAAAGTGAGCAGGAGTAGCTTTTTTAAGTTTTTGGTGAGCAGGAATACTTCCGTAGGGTGCTAAGGGAGCAGGAATAGCTCTTTGTAAGGTGCTAGGTGAGTAGAGACAGTGGCTGTAAGGTGTTAGGTGAGGTGGGACTGAATACATCAAAATACTTCTTCAAGGTTGATGGACTGACCACATCATCTTAACCTCTTTTACTTCCGCTTTTTTCATATTTGCAACTTCTGTATTCGTAGATAAAGCCTGCTGTGTAGGCGAAACTTTTAGGAATAAAGAGTACATCCTTGTTCCCACGTACCTGAAAGAAGTCCTTTGTGTTGGTCTTTGATTTTCTCTCAACCTTAAGTTCAAAATCTCTTTTACTCTTTCTTATTCTTTTTTGGCTTATTTCTTAAAATTAAAATATTAATCCACAAGGTGGCCCTTGCCGCTTTCGATTAGACTTTAAATGCCTCACTTTTCACCCATTTATGTTTGATCTTTTTCTCTCTATCAGGAATATACGAGCACTTGGCTGCTTGCACGATGTTCTGGAAAATGTTGTATTGGCAATCATCACCCCACTCTCGGGTCTTCCTTCTGATAATTTATAAAGATATAAAATCGTCGCTCAACCCTCGGGATGAGCGGACGTGTGCTGAGCTTACCCCCTGCTGTCAGCTGAAGACACCTTGATTTTCGCAAAATTTCGCATCAGGGTAGACGACGGGTAAACACTGTCGGCATTGAAGTGGTACATGGGGCTGTGTATGAACACTCAGCTCAGCTTTTACTGCCTGCAATCATCAGGGACACATACGGAATAGCAAATGAAGAGCTGTATGGTGTGGCATTGAATGGTGCATACCGCATCTTCGTGAAGTATATGAAGACAAGGTCACCAGATTTCAGGACATTTGTATGCCAGTGAATCCTACTGTGATGGTGAGGCTCCATGATGTGTCCCGCTTCTACACGTGGGTGAAGATACGGAATGTGCCTTTCAAGGCTGATGAGGTGGACCTGCATGCTGTGTTTGAAAAATATGGGACAGTTCACATGGCGACGTTGGGGAAGTGGAAGGAGGGATCATATGCTGGGATGCCTGAGGGAAGTTTCTCTTTGAAAATGACATTATGGCATCCCATTCCTTCCAATATGCAACTTGTCGACTTCAGGACACAAGTGATGGTGACTTATGTGGGGCAACGACGTACTTGTTGCTTGTGCGGTGCCTATGACCACATTGCTGTGCAGTGTGTTCGATGGCAGGGTTCACAGGCAAATGATCTATGTAAGGAGGCACCGGAGGAACAGAAGACGGAGGAGGCAAGACCAGAGAAGCCTACTTTGTGAAAGGCTTGCAGTGTGGAGATGGACGAGGCGAAATCGATGGAGGAAGAGTGTGTAACGCTTCCGGGAGAGCCGAGCTCTTCCGGACAGGCTCCAGGGAACGTAGGTGAGGTGCCGCTAGGTGAGGACAGGGACGTGAAGGCCACCATTGGCACAGTGATCCACGACCTGTTAGGAACCCCAGGTGAAGTCTCCGTTGAGGGGCTTGTGGGTGCCCTGGAGTCTGCTGTGGTTCTGGGAGGCGTGGGGGGGGCCTGTCGGTGGCTCACATTGATTCTGCTTTGCAGAGCTGTATTGTAGTGGTGTAAGTGCAAGTGGATGGCTTCCAGGAGGATGTTGGGAAGAAGGCTAGAGGGTCACGGAAGAGAGTGGCTGTGTTCTTGGATATGGAAGATGTGCTCACTCCGGCACAGTGTTCAGGTAAAAAGGTTTGGGTGAATGTAGAGGAGTGTGGACCTGGAGGATCCAGGGACAAGGGACCTGTGAAAGGTGGTCCCAGAGGGGTGTATGAGGATCAAGGGAGTATTAGGAAGAAGGGGGAAAGGGGTGTAGCCGTGCATAAAGGCAAACCTCCTCTGACAGCTTCAAGAGTCCCACTATAAATATTAATGGATTGAGAAATGAAAGGAAGTGTGCATGGTTTCGTGAGTTTATAATTAGGTATGGTGTAGATGTTGTGTTTGTACAAGAGAACAATCACAAGCCAGGTTGTATGTTGGTGATTGAGGGGTACACTGTATATGTGGCACACTCGCTGAGATTGAAAGGAGGTGTGGCTATTTTGATGAAGGAGGCTAGCCCATTTACTGTACATCACTGTGAGGAGGGTGGGAGGGGAGGGTTATACGAGTGGATGGGATGTGGGGGAGGGAGAAGGTCACCTTTGTGTGTGTTTATGGCCAGCAGAGGGAAACGGTCGGGTTAAGAATGAGTTTGTACGTGATGTGTTGGTATATCACCTGAGGTCGCTTCCGGCGGTAGCTGTGGTTGGAGGAGACTGGAATTGTGTGATCCATCATAGGGATGTGGAACCTAGGGGGGAGGCTGGATATTGTCCTGGCGTTTTGAGGGAGCTGTTAACTGGAGTGAGGGTTGGTGGATGTGGGGTGTGCGGCATGGGAGGTGGAGCACACCTTTGTGAGGTAAGGGTATGCGGCAAGGCTGGACAGACTATATGTGAAGAGAAAAGCAGTGGTACAGAGAGTAAGTGTCTTGGATGTGGTCTTTTCAGATCACAGAGGTGTTTTGGTGGAATTGGGATGGGAAGGATTGCCGAACAGGTATATGAGCTATTGGAAATTGAATGTTCGGTTACTCAAAGATGTCGAGGGGAGGGTCTTATTTGCACGTTTGTGGGAAAGGTTGTGGGAAGGGGTGAGCATGGAGGGGGATGTGTTGAGTTGGTGGGATACAATGGCAAAGACGAGGATTCAGGAATTCTATGTATGCCAGGGGAGGCCTGAGAAACAGCTGGCTTTTGGGCTTATTAGGTATCTTGAGGGGCAGTTAAGGGAGTGTTATGAGAGCCCCAGTAGCAAACATAAAGGGATTGAAGGACAGACTCAGGGAATTGCAAAATGAATGGTTCGATGTGGTAAGGGTTTTTGGGGGGTTAGAGGAGGTGATATGGGGTGATAGGCCGTCGGCATGTGTCCTGCAAGGGTAGGCACGTCAGCGCGTTTCTATGGAAATGGTAGGATTGTGGGCCCACGACGAATTGGAGGGATATAGGGAGAGGCAAGAGCTGGTTACAACGGAGGGGATGGGGGTTATGTTGAAGCTTGGCTTAGTGTGTATATGAGAAGTGCGGGAGTGGTGAGGGGGCGTTAAAGGGGGACGGGGGGGATTTTGGGTTTTCCGTGTGTGTTGACAGGGACGACAAAGGGGAAAAATTTCAGGGGGGAAAATCATTAGGGGGGGAGGATTTGGGCCTGGGTCCAGGGAAGGCACCGGGGGCAGATGGGTGCCTAGTGACTTTTATATACGCATTGGGGGGTTCTGAAGGAATTTTTGGTGAAAAAGTTTAATGGGCATGAAAAAAAGGGGGTGAATTGGGGGAGTTTTAAGCCCACAGTGGAAATTTTAGTTTTGGTACCAAAAGGGGGATAAGCAGGCATGGTGAGGGGGTTAAAATGAAATCACTCATGGGGTGCGGGGTACAAAATCTTTACGAAAATTTTGGGAAAACCCCTTTTTAAAAGGGTCCAAAGGTAAAAGGGTTTTAGTTGGGGGACAAAAAGGGTACCGGGGGGATCAAAAGTGTGAGGGGCATGGGGGCATTTTTGGGTTTTTTGAGGGAAAGTGTGAGGGGAGGGAAAGGGGGGTTAGCCTGGTTTTGGGGGGCCGGCAATGATAGCATCAAGTGGGGAAAAGCATTTTTGGAGAATCATGGGGTGGCCAGGTTTTTGGGGAGGAAAAAAGTGAGTTGGGGGGCGTTTCTTATATCAGGGAAACCGGCATGGGGGGGGGGGGGAGGGATGAATACTTTAGGAACCATCTTAATTTTCTGGTGTATTATGTCAGTTGTAATTCTATTGTATATATATCATGCATTATTGTATGCAGTACAATTATTCAAGTGGATGTATTATGCAGACACAGATTTTGTACATATCATGGTATTACTTGTAACCATGGTATAATTTTTTTTTTTTTTTTTTTTTTTTTTTGCTAGGTAGTTCCAGTGTGTTTTGCTAACATTATATGTTTTACTTGGTCTGTATCCTAGGCATGGGGGAAAGGGGTTTTATTTTCACACGGTATACTGATGTGTGCATGTAATATCATAGTTGGTTGGATGACAGACATGTTAACGCTTTCTCAATTTGATTTATATTTGATGTATGGATTTTAATAAAATATAAAAATTATTATTATTATTATTATTATTATTATTATTATTATTATTATTATTATTAACACATCGGCCGTTTCCCACCAAGGCAGGGTGGCCCGAAAAAGAAAAATTTTCACCATCATTCATTCCATCACTGTGTAGCCAGTGGTGCACTTACACTATAGTTATAAAACTGCAACATTAACACCCCTCCTTCAGAATGCAGGCACTATACATCCCATCTCCAGGACTCAAGTCCGGCCTGCCGGTTTCCATGAATCCCTTCATAAATGATACACTCCTCACACTCCAATAGCATATCAGATATTAAAAATCATTTGTCTCCATTTGCTCCTATCTAACATGCTAACGTATGTTTGCTGGAAGTTCAAGCCCCTCGCACACAAAACCTCCTTTACCTCCTCCCTCCAACCTATCCTAGGCCGACCTCTACCCCACCTTCCCCCCACTACAGATTTAAACTCTCGAAGTCATTCTGTTTTGGTCCATCCTCTCTACATGTCCAAACCACCTCAACAACCCTCTCCTCAGCCCTCTGGATAATAGTTTTGGTAATCCTGCACCTCCTCCTAATATCCAGTCTACAGATTCTCTGCATGATATTCACACCACACATTGCCCTCAGACATGATATCTCCACTGCCTCCAACCTTCCCCCTGTTGCAACATTCACCACCCATGCTTCAAACCCAAATAAGAGCATTGGTATAACTATACTTTCATACATTTCCTTCTTTGCTTCCATGGATAAAGTTCTTTGTCTCCACAGACTTCTCAGTGCACCACTCACCTTTTTCCCCTTGTCAGTTCTATGATTCACCTCATCTTTCATAGACCCATCTGCTGACACGTCCACTCCTAAACATATGAATACATTCACCTCCTCCATACTCTCTCCCTCCAATCTCTTATCCAATTTCTCGTTATCTATTTTTTTTGTTATCCTCATCACCTTACTCTTTCCTATATTCACTTTTAATTTTCTTCTTTTACAAACTCTACCAAGCTTGTTCACCAACCTCTGCAACTTTTCTTCAGAATCTCCCATAAGAACAATGTCATCAGTAAAGAGTAACTATGACAACTCCCACTTTGTATAGATTCAATATCTTTTAACGCCACACCTCTTGCCAACACCCAAGCATTCATTTCTCTTACATCCTAATTTACAAATATATTGAACAACCATGATCACATCACACTTATCAGTTAAGAAACCCGTCAAGTTGTTGTGGTGCCGCCTCCAACTTTTTCACCTCATCTATGTGCAGTACATAAGCCACTTCTCTGCATATATGCTGTACTATAATCAAGACTGATGAACTAAAGATATTGACTCCAATCTGAGAGACTGATTACCTCAAACGCCTTCTCATCTTCTACCATCAATCTCTGTACTGTACTGAGGAAACCGCTAGTTGGGGAAACGTTCACATCAAACCCAATCTGTTAGTTTTCTAAACAATTTATTTAACGACCTGTCTCCTGCTTTGTAGATAGGAATCATATTTGACATTTTCCACTTATCTGGAGCTACACCAGTTTGTTGTGATATGTTGAAAAGACTATCTAATGGTTTGCTAATTTCTTTCTTACATTCCTTTGTAACCTTTAAGAACAGTGATATGTATAAGAACTATATCACTAGTTACTTTGATCGTCC